CTGTAACCTCTCGAGATAAAATTATATACTATATGTCCTTTCGTCTCTTCCAGTCTGTACTCTTAAGCTTCGTCTTCGCTATCAGATCCAGGAGAGACAATCTGGCGGCGCTGATTAACTTTCAATTGGGGCAACGCCTCAACTGGCTCTAGCTCGTCTCCGTCATTATCCATTATAGGCTCTATCTTATTAGATCCTAGGGCAAATAGCAACTTAAACTCCTACCGAGTAGTTAGTGTATTGCTTAAGTATAGAATAGAGATTCTAACGCATTCATGCTGTCCAATCCTGGATTTACAGGCGGTGAAAATATCAACTCCTATATAAGTGGGTCCATGGAGGAGATAGACACACTCGTTTCTTAGAACGAGTTTATATTGCCGCTCTAGATTCCCTTCACCAACGTTGAAGATCTTTAGATTCTTGCTTGCAAGTGGTCCTTCATAGACCCTTTGAAAAAGGCCGTTTTCTGTTTTCTTTGAGAGGAATATGAGATCGCTAGAACTGTGCAGTTCCACTAACGTAATCGGAGTACCACACCTCCTACAAAGGAGACGATAATCTAGACGGCGTTCCGGAACGAGTAGAGGTATAGCTTCCCGCTGTCTAGTAGGTTGTTTTCTGTCTGGAAGTGATGTGCGGAACTCCTCGCAATATTTCTCGAGATATGTCTCGAACGGCTCTGGACTTTCTTTATCTTGAAGGAGGGAAACTTGAGTCATTGTAAAAATATGTGGTTTGAAAATTTACGAACGGGACTAGAATGTAAACTGATAGGCAGGTATAATAGCGAGCAGCGATGATTTTAATGGCCGCCGCCCTCTGTCTCTCCTATGCCTGTCCGTCCGCTTATCGTTCTTTCATGAACTCCCGAGGTGGGGAAGGACCCCCCTAAGAGACGTCGGCGTGATGCGCATCGACTAGACTTGCATCCTCACATGTTTCGAAGCGAACTGGATTGAGCCATCCCGCGGATGTACGAGGGCAGTACCGTCTGCTACCAAGACCACCATGCATAATAATAAAGCAGCATTCGACGCTCAGGTTATTCACGCAACTTGGTGGCTTCCACTCAACCCTGCTCACAAGCACTGCATGATGTCCTAATAGCAGAGTAATCGATCTGAATCCTTACATGTATGGCTTCTTCTCAACCTGACCACGCCATCGGAGGATTGCAGTCCATATATTTCGATTGCCAAGTACAGATTAGTTTATCAGTCACTGAAAGTGCTGGCCCTAAAGGTTTCCCTTAAGTTCCTCTTATACCCCCACCTAGTCTAATAGTGCCTTGAGACCAATCGATAGCTTTTCCGTAACCGTCTATATAAAGCCGATAGTACACTATTCTTAGACATTAGATGCCATTGGATTCGCTATCTGCCTAAAAACGCTATAGGTGTGCCAGCTATTGCTAAAGGGTATGATCGCTTAAGAAACATAGTTTTGTGGACACTCGGTGATGAGTACCCGGAGTGCATGCTGCGACCGCTTACGGTCATGTTGTTGTTGTATGTAAAGAAGAGAGAGTGAGCGACTCAGTAGAAAGCTATTTAACAAAAGACCACTAGTCCCAATCGGGAAGTAGGTACCCCTTATATCTTCGAAAGTTACCTTAGAGCGGATTATTATTACCTAGCTTAACTCAAAGTGCATAGGAACGCCTTCGCCTACTTGAAAGACACTCTCAGTGAAGGTATTCATCGTTGGCACTGCGCATGTAGTGCCAGTAGCTGGCTCCTTGGGGAGCAAGTGTGATGATCGCGAATCATCTGGATTGTATTCCATGACCTTACACTTGATCTCAGCTTGCGATGCACCCAGTTGTCGATTTAGCTCGTTCTGTGGATGAGATAATTTCAGACACTCACTGGGATTTGATTACGACGTTAGGCTTGGTTAGAATACTATACATTTGGGTTACGAAGCAGAAATCAGCATCGAGGTCGACGGGTGCAAGACTTCAATCAAGCGGTTTATTGTATTTTTACATATCAAGCCACACAGACAATCGAAACGCCCAAGATTACGAGGAATATAGAAGTAAAGATATACAGCACTTCCACTAGTATAAAGGTTCAAATATCGCTGTTGTCACTGCTACCCTCCAAGTTGGCAATGTTCGCGGAAATAATGTGTCCGAGAGGTCCCCCAAACGGGAACACAATCTCTGCGGGTATTAATTAGGCTGGGGGTGTCGCGCTCTCCGCTAGAGCATTCCACGGGGGTCGTGAAACGCTTTCCAGTTGGTGGACGGAGTCGACCCCCTCGAGGTCGGCACCAGTCTTGGCCGCAAAGCCCCCCAGCATCGTAAAACTACTCATTCTCCCTTCGTTATGAAGCTCCTCACAGCACGTGACATTGCCCTACAAATCGACAGTACGGTCTCAGGGGCGTTAGGCCGTCTGATGGCAGAGGGGACTTGGACCTACAAGCAAACTGATGTCGGTCAGCAAGCAGGGACATGGTGATGTCTGTCCACTCATCTACGGTGATGATGTTGTGATGTTTCTCATGCTCAAATACCATCGAATTTGACCATGGCCTGCATCTCCAAACGAATGCGAGTGTTCAGCTATGCCCGTCAAATTTTCAATTATGGTCATGGTACGTACGCCTTTGGAGAAAGAACCGTAAAGTGCTGCTACCAAACAGATAAGCAATATTATTGACGCTTCACAGCTTCGCGACCGTCCCGACATCTACGAGATATTCCATCATAAAGAGGCTTCATACATTGTTCTGGAGGACATGGCAAGCCACAACGGCCTTGCAAACCCCTCAACTAAGTACATCTAACTGTTTCTTTCCCAATGCAACCATTCACCAGAACGTGTCTGCCGTAATGAGACTTGCCGCTTGCCTTCTCTCTCGGACACATATACTTAGTAACCACAAGCATTGAGGGGAGCCAGTACCATCAATGATTCATCCTCATAGCACACCAGAATCTAAATTTATAGAATTGATTCTCTAGCGAGTTCATGTCCGAAAGCCTGCTAAATCATGCAGTAAATCGATTGCGCGTTCCGTCTAACCTGCACGTTATGATGGGGTTGGAAGATAGTGACGCAGTGTACTGGCGGCTGGTGTGCGACAAAGCGGCACTGGCACTACTGATCGTCGTATGCGGGATCAAAAGTAAGTCCTCCCGCATGAGATTGCTTCGATGTATGGGTGCATGGATTGCCGCCAAGAGCAGCTTTATCCTGCCAAATCACACCATGCAGGATATCCCTGCACAACGAATTGGAATTCCAGCCAACTGGCTGGGTATCATCATGATCTGGGGGGTTCAATGGCTTGACGTGCCCAAGGATGAGGCGAGTGCACGGCCGGTAAAGATTGGCCATACATGGGGCTGCCTTGGTGGCCTTTGAAGTCTTCCCAGCGCGACTTTGGTATCGACGACCGTAACCAAAATTCATGTGCCAATGGTGTCTCGATAGGTGCTTCTTTATTTCACCCTGCTTTCTATTAGGTCAAGCCGTTCGACGGTCCAGATGGACACGTCCATTGTGACGATACCATCCGTAGTTTGACCCCTGCAGCTACCAAGTCGTGCTTGGTTGGTTCCGCAGTCCTGTGGTCTTCGAGGCAGGCGACATGGAATGGGACGAACGCCGCCCTGTGATAGCCAGTAATTGGAAAAGGTTTTCCGTATCCGTAGCAGACTGAGGCAGATGGGCAGGCTTGATATGATGTGGCTGGCCAGGTTCACAGCATCACCAGCGAAGCTTGCACTTCCGTCGACCGACTGCTGTCTCAGCCTTACGACGTGCGGAGCGGGCCTATCGTAGTATTTGAAGGCGCCATGACCTTTCTCAACTCGACAAATCACTCTCATTTGCCTTCTTTCCCACCGCCATGTATGACCTAACTTCTGACTCTATAGCCTGTCTAGTTCTTGGCTGCATATGTTCCATCTTTGCATCTTTCTCTCTCCTCTATTCGGTTACTACATACAGAGGAAACCGGCCACACATACCTCTGCTTGGAGTTTTGGCCGGCATTCTCTCATCCGCTCTTTCTCTAATAGGAGCATTTCTTGTTCCCATTTCCGTATCGTATTTCCCACGGTGGATACCCCTTTTGACAAGTCTTTCAGCCGCGTTCGGTGCCTTGTTTGAGGTGCGTTACTCTCGCGACTAGCGTCCAATACTGACTTTTTGGCCGCCAGAGCCTTGCTACGTACTCAATGATGCCGTACCTGTCTTGGGAGTATGTCACAGCACTATGTCTCCCATCTAGTCTCGGAATACTATCAACCATAATCACATTGTAAGTCTGAGCCCTATTCTACGACTTACCACTGAGATGATATTAAGCTCTTTTGTGTTTGATGACATAGCTCCAGCGGAGACCATGTGCATCGCCCAATTCTTCTTGCTGTTAGGCGAGATCACATTGATGATATTTTGGTACCGAGCACGCGGACAGGGCCAACAGAGTAGCAGAGAGGGACTAGGAGAAAGAAGGCCAACACGTAAGGAATCCAAAGGAAATGATTTCATAAGTCGAAGTATCATTCGTCACGGGATTTTAGCTGTCCTTATTGTCGCCATTATACCAGCTAGTGTGTGTACCAATAAGGTAAGTCTGTCGTACGGCTATCAAACGTTGCTGATGTTCCAGGGAATACCGTACTCACTATCTCTCACCATCTTGCTGGCTTTGTATAAAACGAACACCTTGTTTATGACGTTACCTCCAGCAATTCGGATGATCGTTGCGTTAATTAATGCCACACGGAACAAAACGCACGGTGGTCGAGAGGCCAACCAAGAGCATTCGAATTTCGGTTCTGAGGAAAAATCTCTGGATTCTTTCGACGGAATAAACGACCGTCCGATGAGCGGAATGAGCTTCATGTGCAGAGGCACATTTCTCACTTCGTCCATCCCTCCTCCAACTCAATTCACAAGTCGTGTCTAATACCTTGCTCTCTCCGAAGTCATCTTTAGGCGCCTGCCGTTTGTTGTTGTACAGTGCGCAAACGACTGGTGGGTCAGGCTCCAAGAAGAGTTCTGATTGATCGGGATGCAGTTTTCGTGCTGGGTTCCATGATATGACGTATCTACTTGGGCGAGTCCGGAATTTCACTGTTCGTTTCGGATTGCGGCCTATACTATACCGTGGTCGGCTTGGAACGTTTCTGGTGCTATGTAATTTTACCATTTCCTATGACCCGGGTCGGTGCTCCAGCCGAAGCTCCAAGCATATTTCCGCCGCCCTTGATGAGTCGCGAGTCTCCAGACGCTAGGCACTAATGCATACGTTATCCATCCAGCACTACTATCAGAGTTTTAGCTTCCTTCCATTGGTCGTAGAGTCTAAGAATGAGGGCTTCCTTCCACATTTGTAACCAGAGTAGGAGAGAAGGGGGCATAGGCTGACTTTCTGCCAAAGTAGTAGAGAGTAAATCCAGCAGCTTATGCGTCTGCTCGGTATGCCCAGGTAAGAATCCCGGCAACCGGCCTGGGGCGAGGCTCGCTGGACCGCAATGATCAGGAGTGGCGAGCACGACATAATCAGGCTGGCTACACTATGCTAGTCTCTTTTGACGGCACGACGACCGTTGAGGGCTTGGACGTGCGGCTACTCCGTGTGTAATTAGGCCATGGATAGCTCTTCCCAGATTTCTACTATTCTTACCGAGCATGACATCGTGATCAAATCTCAGTGAATGTCTGACATCATCTCATCCACAGAACGATCTAGATATCTGATGTCTCCAAAGGGGATCGAGTTGTGCGTAATGGCTGCTGCAATATTTACTCAATTTCAGTGATGTGTACTAGTTCCTATTCTATGTTCACCCTTCACGCAAGGCCCATAATCCACCTTGCGCGATGACATTGGCGCCCTTGTCGAGCAGCAGCTTGACAGTCTGCTGGTGGCCTCCATCTGAAGCTGCCTGGACGCTGGAGCTAAGTAAAAGCGTCACAGCCATAACCAGGTGACCCCTTCTTTGGTGAACTTGCCTAGTGAAGCTTTGTAACCAATAGCACTACTTTCGTTATTGTGCGGCTTTTCAAAACACTTGGTTGACCGCCGGGGATTTCATTACTAAGCGCTATTGAAGGATCATGCCTGATACTTTTAGGAGGATCAAGCTCCAGTCATTCACAGGGTATGACAAATCCTGACTTGCATTGGATACCGGAGATAAGATTAGCGACGCCCAGCAGAGCGCTTGAGCAGCTAGGCGCAGACTCATGCTTCGTCTAAGTTAGAGCCGTTCAGATCGATACTTCGAACGACGAGTACAGCGATTGCAAGCCTTCAAGGCAGGGATACCAGCACATCAATGGGAAAGATAACAGTATATTGCTGAGATATAGATGGTCAAGTAATAGGTCCAGCTTCATGAAATGACTCTCATGGCATAATGCCAGCAGCAGCCCCCTGAGCCCACCTCGCCTCACCATCACCCTTGCGCAAGGACTTTGAAGCTTCAATCACGAGTCAACAACCCCCACTTATCCGTATCCCACCACCAGGGTTCGAAAACACATCCCGCTGTGCTGGGGTCCTCTCTGGCGGGTCTGGTTCACAGTCCCAAAACTTAAGGACACTATTTTCACTCATCGACCAAACCCTCTCTGATATGTTGCCAACACTGGCGTTATCGACCGGTAGACCGCTATCCACATGGGCCGCGTCACGATTATCAAGTCGCGCCTGATCTGGAGGCAAGCCTGTGTGATTGGCCTGGTCAGGATTCTCAGTGAGAGACACCTCTTCCTGACCGCCGATCAAGGTAATTTCGACCACAGCACGTCCCCGGTATGGTAGCAACAACGTGGCTATAGTCACTGCATATTGAGACCTCGTGAGGCGTGGCGCGTCGATGATCCATGGGAATGTATGCTTCGTATTTAATGTTTTCGTGCTCTTGGCGTCCATGAAGAGCTGCAGTACGGGGCGGGCTCGGGGGTTGGTCAGTCTTGTTGACATGGTAAGGCCTCCGGATCCGTTCTCCCACCAGACGTAGGTAGAGCTTCTTAGTGCGCCCTATCATACTAATAAGAGAAGAGAAAAAGAGGTTGCCTGGGATAAGTCAGAACAAGGAGACTGTCAGTTTGAGCAATACTTACCACTCATTTTTGCCGGGCGATATGCTATAGTGTGAGTCTAGGTGTCGGTAATTGCGTATAGTTTGTTCATCAAGTCCGATGTCCATGGCGTCCATCCTGGAAAGATCATCAGTGAGGGATTCGTTCTATGTTTACTGTGGTATCACGCCGAACAGTTGCTAGCGCCAATTTGACTTCCTAGCCAGAGGGGGCTGTGACGGAACAACTTGACTTGCATACTTAGTGCATCAATCTACAGGTAAGTAGCCCAACATACGGCTAAACCGTGGCCCTGACCGCAAAAAGTCGACTTTTTGCGGTCAGGGCCACGGTTTAGCCGTATGATCAAGGTATCAAGAGTCCGGACTGCACGCCTCCAGAGTCATACAATTGCCTTTCCCCCCTACTGTCTCATCCTCCAAGCGCAGATTCCCAGCGCTACTCAGCAGTTGCCTTCTTTCCAACTTTGCCCCCTTCGAGTCCCCTCAATGGCAATCTCCTCCCCGATTACATCTTCCAACTTCGAACATTCTGCGATAATATTAGCATTACGACTTGTCGCCAAATGCTTTAATACTATCGAATCTGTTCGTTCAGCGCATAGATGTTGTGTATTCAAAGACTAACACGGCTATAGTCTTTCGGAGATGCATTCCTCAAAGCGGCTCATGAAATCGAGCCTTCAAGAGGCGAGGAAGAGATGCTCAATGCTTTTCGCAAGTTATCATTAACTATTAGAACACCTCGAGGGCCTGCAGTGTCATTGGACAAACGAAGCAAGACATGTCGAAGTCTCGCAGGCAATAATAAATCCACAGCTAGGGTCTCACGTGGCAGTGGCCTGATATCAAGCATTACTGCTCCTACTAACCATGGCCCAACGAAGGAGGCAACAGGTGGTAGACGAAGCCATGGCAACATTCCAGTGACTGTTATTCCTCCTATTGACCATTCCCGGACGGGAGAGGCTGTCGACCATGGTCCGACGGACGGAGCTCCAGTCGGTAGACAGATAGGCCAGACACAAAGTTACGACAGTGACCCGCTACGGAATGCTAGTAATGCTCAGCTTGAAAAACAAAGTGACATATCCAGCGGTAGCATCACCGGGGAAACTGCTGTCAGCAGACTCGAGGCCTTGATCAAAGACCATAAAACCGTCAAAACATCCCTCACCAAGGGCGCGATCGACAGACTGGTGAAGATTGTTAGAAAGATGTCTATCCAGGATCTGCCAGAGACCACAATGCCTCGCATGAGACCGCCCGAATCCGTCAAAGAATTATGGGAGCAATACAAGCAATTCGACCGCCAGTGTATGGAAAGACGTCGGGTGTTCCAAATGGCGCTGACATTCTGTTGGGTCAGAGAAATAGAGAGGTGTCCAACGCGGACGGATAATAAAAAGATCCTCGAGGAAATCGCCTTGAACGTGGGGATCTCGAAAGAAGACACCAAGGAGATGTACGGACTGTATGCCTGTGGTGTCACGCTATTGAGTCTACAACCAAGGGTGTGGATCATGACAGCGGGTATGAAGCTGGATTCGTAGTATGTGTAGTCCAGCCCTTACATGTACATAATGCTGACACAGAAGAGCTTCACCAGATTAAGCGCTGAGGCCACAACAGTTCTCCATGAGTATATAGACACATACTGGGGAAACTCAGTCGAGCTTGACCGTACTGTCGTCGAAAGAGTTCGAGAGATTGTTCCTATCATACCTGAATTTGATAGCTGTGCCTCGACTTATTATAAGCAAGCATTAGCGCGCTCGCCGCTACCCTTGACTGTTGAAGAAAGACACGGACACTCCACTGTGAGTCCAACAACTATATCGAGTCGACAGTCGAGTACGCGTCCATCTTCATCAAATCTATCCGCAAGTACATTTTCGGGTGCGGATTCGAACAGTGTCGATCATTACGATCACGAAAATGCAGGTTCTAGGAAGCGGTGGATATCAGAAGGCCACGACCAACAGAAGCGGAAGCGTTTACTCGCCGATCAAGACACTCCTATCATATTGGAGCACACAACTGTATCCCCACAGAGCTCGAATGGACTAATAATACCGGAGGTTATTGCGAACAACCCCGCAATCCTCACAACCACACCATCGCAGACATCTCCCGAAGTCCTAGACCGCAATCAACCTCAACAGGCGACAAACTTAGGGCTAACGACAGACTCGGACATGCGGGAAGACGTGATTATCCAGAATAACTCGCTCGTCTTACGAGACAACTACAACCATTTCCCATCGCTCGATGGTTTCGGACAGAGTTTCACGGCGATGACCCAGGATGTCTCGTTCGTCTTTCCACCAGACAGATTTGATCGGCTCGATGGTTTCGGGCAGAATTTTACGGCTAACATTGATGGATTCGGGTATCCAATGCCTGTTTCATAGGATCATCACAGGACGGATACAAGGTGGGCCTGAACGCGATATAGCCCTGGCTTTCTTATCATTTTCAAAGTTCCCGCAGTGCCCAGTCACATGGTCAGCATGTCTTTACCAGAAATAATGTATTGTTCCCGCTTTAGTCTATGACCAGACATTTAAGCGGATCATTATTTCATTATTGTACAACCAAGAAAACCACATCTCCTCGCACACATGATACCGAATTCGAGGTGCAGAAGATTGCTATTCCAGGTTCGAAAGAGCTCCAATTCTCGTTATCAGTCGAGACGTGTGAGGATCCCTGCAAAACCACTATAGGGACGAGGTATGTATCCCGAGTTCGATTGATCATAAATTTACCTTCCTGTGGTTTCGTCGGTCGTAGTAGGCCCCAGAGGGTCTAGTAGGCATCAACGATTGAACCCGTATTTCGTTGGCTTAACTTACTGGTCTTTCCTTCCATATTCCAAGAGCTAACTTCTGTGCGCTATCCTCATACCCTGGAGTATGACATTGCCAAAACCCAGGCAACTTAGAATCTTGGAACTGCCCTTGTTCTTCTACCGCCTTCGCCAGTGCTGCTCGATGCTCTTCAACATGTTGTGGGAGAGTGAAGCTTGCAAGATGTTCAGGCATACTAGCAGAGGGTAAAACAGCGTAGATTCAAACAAACATGCGCTTTCAGACTAGGTAAACCTTTGTGCGCTGACGCGATGTGATCGTAAATTTCCCGCATATGCCACGAAATGGCGGGGCAGCACGTGCTGTCCCGTAACGCTTTCGGATCACGTGGCTAGAAGTTTCACCGAGTAATATTTTTATCTTGATGACTCTGACTCTAAGCGCCCGCCCGCCATGTAGCTAAGACGGACGGATTTGATCTACACTTCTTAACAATCGTTCAGCCAAGCCTGCGATCCAAGACCCAAGTGTTATCAAGCCGCTATTCAATCATTATCCTAGTGGACATGGATTAACCTAAGATGTCATCGATCGTGCCTTCATACCGTGGGGAGAAGCCAGGGAGCTGGATCCGAACGTTGCAGACCAGATCGTCATCATTATTACCGATACCAAAGTGGAAAAGCTGACTCGTATCAAGTTCGTTGCATACCGCGGCCATAGTCAACGTTTCTATCACCAAGTCAGACTTGGTTGAGACCTTATGTCTAATCTTCTTCATCTTTACGCGGATTCTTCTTATATTAATTTAGCTAATATATCGCATTGTAGAAAATAAAAAACGCTAATATTACAATGCCGATAACGTGACTTAGTTTATTACGGACCGTGATAAAAGTATAGGGAAGGCATGGAAGGGGATCTTAAGCTGGTCATGTATATTCGTCCCGCCGCCCGGTATCCAATACCTAGTATTATTCACTACCTAGCTACTAGTTATCTACTCTATTAATATCTATATCCCAAAGCGACCTAGAAAAAGGACAAAGTGAGAAAGTTGGAGGCGTTGAGACCCGACTAGGTTGGGTTATGGAGAGGTCGGCTCATCCATATGCTCGCCCTGAATCGCCAGCGATACGGAAGACAAACATAGCGATCCGTTGAATCCTATCGTATGCACTCGCGCGTGGTATCAGCGTATGGCTATAGGATCGACCCCCCCACCCTTTGTTTCTATCTTACTCTACGATTGGCTTATTACTAACGCGTCAGCCTATGCAAAAAGCAGAGAACAGGGTGTGGAAACTAACGAGGAAAGGTACTAAACCCGTGAAGGGTCCTTCGCAAGTAGAAAACGAAGCGTAGGCTATATATATGAGTCAAAGCCTGCGATGCAGCCTAAATTATAGATGGCCATCCTTATAAATTCAGGCACTATAAGCATGGTGTCTAAAGTACGCAATGACGCATGAACGCTGTCCTTCTGACATAAATGAGCAGTAAGTAAGTAAAGGATATATCTGACTAGTAAAGAACGCTCACGATAACAGGCAGACCAGGGAATCTCGGTGCGGTATGTATCCTTTCGGTATGTGAGGCTATTTCACTAAGTCTCTTAAAGCGGGTTGGAAACCAGCGAGTCCAATCACTCATGTTATACGAGAGAGCTTCAGCCTCGGTCCGCGTTATCTTGAGTTTACGCAGTCCTTTTGAGTATGGAGGACGAGAAACCTTAGCGCTACCGCTATCCGTCTGTAACCTTTTCAGCGCGACTCTTGGCACACGTTGCGCGCGCAATACACCACTTCTTCTCCTATCCGTTTGTCCATCTGTTTATCCATAGTTACATCCGTCCGTAACTTTTTCAGTGCAACTCTTGGCACGTGTTGCGCGCGCAACACACACATTTTCTCTTATTCTTAAAAACCTATATTTCCTTTAATAACTCTAGTATTAGGACTCTAGAAGGTATTATAAGATCTCATATACTTATATTTATATCTAAAGAGTATCTATTAAGTTCTTTTAAAGAATCTTAAAGAGATAGATGATAGAGAAAATCTCTATTTTCTCTTTATCTTTACTATATACCTGGGTACTTTAGAAGTTACCCCTCCTAAGTTATTATAGAGCTTTTCTTAGAATAACTAATTAATATATTATTGTTCTCTTAATTTTTTTATATAGGAAGTAAGAGACTATATAGAAGTATATTTAGGTATAATTAAAAACCTCCTAGAGTCTTAGTTCTGGAGTTATTGAAGAAAATATAGGTTTTTAGGAAATAAAGGTATCGGTAAAAAAACGTGTGTTGCGCACGTAACACGTGCCAAGAGTTGCGCTGAAAGAGTTACGGACGGATCCGTCGTTTTCCTAGAACCTGAGTCGCTTGGCATTTTTCAATTTCACGCGTGTGTTCACACACCCCAATTAGATAGCTATTTTACCTCTCTACCTCTATATAAGGGTCTATATATAATAATATCTATATAGACTTATAGAGTAGAGTAGGGCGATTAATCCTATATATTTTTTAAGCTCTATACTCTCTAATTCACTCTATAATAAGAGGGTCTAGTTTCTTAGAGAAGAGGAAGAAGGTGGTTTTCCTAGAACCTGACGCGGTTTTCGCACGGCCCTCTTCTAAGAACTTTTTAAGATCCTTCTCTACATATGCAGCCAAGAACCAGACAGGCTATAGAGTCAGAAGTTAGGTCATACATGGCGGTGGGAAAGAAGGTAAATGAAAGTGCTCCGTCAAGTTGAGAAAGGCCATGGCGCCTTCAAACCTAATTACCAGCAGAGCGCGGACCAGTAGTTGGTTCCTGGCTGGCATCCCTCGGAGAACGATCCTGGTCGACGACGACAACGACAACGAAAAGGCAACAGGCACCAAGCCTGCCCATCTGCCTCAGTCTGCTACGGATACGGAAAATCCTTTTCCAATTGCTGGCTATCATAGGGCGGCGTTCGTCCATTCCATGTCGCCTGCTTCAAATACCACAGGACTGCAGAACCAACCAAGCACGACTTGGTAGCTGCAGGGATCAAACCACGGATAGTCTCGTCACAATGGACGTGTCCATCTAGACCGTCAGACGGCATGGATTTTAGGTACGGTCGTCAATACCAAAGTGGCGCTGGGAAGGCTTCAAAGGCCGTCTAGGCAGCCCCACGTATAGCCAATCTTTATTGGCCGTGCACTCGCCCCATCCTTAGGCACGTCAAGCCACTGAACCCCCCAGACGAGATCATGATGATACCCAGCTAATTAGTTGGCTGGAATTCCAATTCGTATGATCCTGCACTGCTTTACCCGCTGAAGAGCTCCCACCGCCCTAATACAACGCAGCTTCTCCTTCTCCTCCTTTAGTCCAATTATGCCTGTAACACGACCATCTTTTGATACTGCTGCGCGGCAGCAATGGCCTGTAAGTGCCACGTTATGGCGGGAGCGCATGACTGACGAAGCTTCCAAATTCATGCGCTCCGTTGTTGAAAAGGAGCTAGCCAAGCTCGACCTCCCAGAGACCAAGGACTCTCTCAAGCCGCTTACCTCTGCTTTCTGGGGTATTAATCAACAATCTAACCACGCATCGCCGGGCATCGACACATCCAGCCAAGGGAGTTTGAATTCGATGCCGAACCACTCTCTCACTCGCGTAATAGAGCCACACAGTTCTCGGCGCATAGAAGCTACCGGAGACAGTTTTCATCCCAACCTCACAACCTCACCTGGCATTGTGAGCAGTTCCGCGGACTCAAGCCGTGCCAGTCCATCTACTGCACCATCGACGCCGCCTGACGAAGGAGCTGACACCAGTAGCGCACGCAACCCATCGTCCGAATCGACTTCGTCCATTGATAAAGCAGCTTCTGGGCTTTCAGAGCATCCCATTCAGCATAGTCAAGCTGCTGGCAAGCATCCAAACCTTTGTCCCACACAAAGTTCTGTACTAGAAAGTGGATCCAACTTGAATGCCAGTACAAGGCAACGGACGCAAAATAATGGCGATTCATCCTCAAGTCTGACTGGAGTCTGCATAAGCACCACACCGTCACGAATACACCTTGACGCAGTCGCGCGGGATATGGCTGTAGGTGATGATTCGTCTGTCCACGGATCTCACAGCGGCTGCAATTCCCATTTAGTCGCACCCAACCCGACAGAAGATGCAATAAGCCTGCCTGGCACCAAAAGACCATATTCGGGGCCAGCGAATGATGCCGATTTAATCGAAGACAATATATGCCATGGTATTAAGCGGTTTCGAGGGGATTTTCGTTTTTCGGGGAGCAGACTACAGACGGGTTGAATGGGCGTGGTACAGCTAGTCGGCAAGACTTAAATGTCACTGTGAGAAACCTCATAGCGCCGGTCTCTGACATCACAAGTAAAGGGAATTCTCATGTTCAATGATGCCTGCTAATTGTCATAGGTCAGCAGTCAGTTCTTCCTGCGGTTCCTACGGCTCCTACGAGCGTAATTGGTGCGTCCATAGCCGTAGCGGAAACGTTGTCAACTAACAAATCGAAGGGGCGATTCAGTTTGAGAAGACCTATCTTCAAGACATAATTGTCAATGGACCCAGCAGTATTCTAGGCGATATATGGCTCGGTAGTCTGCCAGGGTTCCCACCATTCATTTCATTAAGGCCGTCAAAGAGATTGGACGGCATGATTAAGTCATTCGGTCAAGAGGTCCCTATCCCCTCACCCGCTCCAGCAGCTCTAATTCAAAGAGATGGGTTTGGTAGATCGTTTTTGAACGAAGCCGGGGGGACATCTTTTATATCGGTTGAGGTGTTAGATGAGCAGTTGGTAAATGATTTTGTCCAAGCTAGCAAGCAAGAATAATGACAAAATCAGTACTCCCACAAGGTCATTCGTCATCAATTAAATTTTACAGTACGAAAAGCGAAGGTAGGGACTGCTATCTTTATACTCGTAATAACCTATCTAGCCAGGACGCGTTTATCTCTCAAGAATTTTATAGCGTCCGACATATGCTTCGTCTTGCTATTGGTGATATTATAATGACTACCTGATATGATAACACACCGTGTCTCCCCTGTCTGGTCGACGGCTCCATCCTCCGTGACAGCCCATCCTGTTACTTGAGATTTGAACTGCCCAATTACCTCCTCTCTCACCTCTGCCTCTTCAAGTAAAAGGCTGCCGCTATCAAAAGAAAACTCAACCATCTTCGCCGCCTGGCCTTGTATTGCCTCAAGCCCCAGAACGTTTTCCAAGCCCGTGATCTTGAGGCAGTTGGTAAACTCTAGAAAGAAGTTACGATCGATAGTTCCAGCACTGACTGGCGGACCTTCGCGAAACTCAGAGGGGAATAGAAGCGGACTGCTCCTCTCGCCTTCGGATGTACGGCTGGTTGCATCCACCAAGATAATGTGAGCATGTATTTTGTGTAAATCGATATCAGAAATGCAAGTAGGTCTGGTCCAATACCCGCGCGGTTCGGATATGCGAGTGCCTAAGAGTATTTTTCCCACAGGGATGGTGGTATGGCGATGGAGGAGTCGCAGTCGGAACTGGCTCTGGGCGGAGTAGGTTGAAATTATTGCACAGAGTTGTTTAACTCCATCGGATAGTACGTTTATTTCAGGAAATGCAGTGTCTGGGGGGAGTCGATTGTGACTACCTTCGATAAGCAAGAAGTCTGCGAGCATGAAGCTGGAGCATGGACTAACCATCTCGTGGAAGCCATCAACGTCTCTTTCGTAATGTTCTCATTCAATCGTAGAGTATCTGCCATCTCAATGAAAGATGTGCTGTGCTGATCAAGAGCGCCTTTGGTTGCTGAGGGGAAAATTCGTAGGTTGAGGCATTTACCTCTAGGCCCGTCCAAGGTTATCTCAATAAACTTAGACCCTCACGTAATCAACGCCAAGCCGCTAAGGCGGCAGTTGTTGCTCGGCAGCAATCGAAGAGTATATACAAAAAGGAGTGTCGATCTGTACTGCACGTGACCGTTCACCGCTACTCACGCCAGCCCGGCTCACATGCGTGTAATTCTGGTCCAGCCTTCGGCTGATTCCTGACACCATACGATTTTGGGGTGTCTTGGTTATGCGAGCGGGTAGCAACGCGAATAGCATAACTTAGCTAGAAAAATATATTAAATACCTATCTAGGTAGTTCTATCTATATTAAATTTTTTATTATGGGTTTGCTGGGCTGGAAATTGTAATCAACCCGTGTAGTACGAGCGGCTTATCCCTAAAGTAGTCCGTAACACAAGAGTGTTCCGGCTTTGCAATAGGCAAAGGTGTTTAAAGGGCTTCGGTAAGATCAAACTTGGTTTGAGTACCATTCTACATCGAACGAAGAATGGATAGAAAGCACCATTCGAGCGTCGACATTACAGCAAGTGCCCTGGGCCTCCTCGTACCATATCCTCCCAACACAGCTTCTTCCAATCTACGATCTGACATACCAGCTCCGGCTTTCCGTTTAGAGGAAAGTTCCGGACACAGCGGAGTCAATTTGGTTTGCTATGAAGGGGGATACCGGCGCTCTGAAGCATTCATTTGGCGAAGGGCTGGCGTCTCCAGTAGAAGTGAGCAGTTCTCGAGAGCTCTCTTTGGTAGCAGTATGCAATGCGCCTGTTGATGATGGGTGAGTCAGAATATGGAATCAAGTAGCATCAGCTGTATCGAGAAAGCTACTGACCGCCCATTCTAGGTCCTATGACCATGCATGGGAATATGCATATCGCAATAGTTACAGCATAACGGAGCTTAAAGGGCTAGAATGCATTATGACTAACACGACCGTTCATAGAGATTGGAGAGAGGAGCAGAACTTTTTTCCAGTCCATGAAATTGTCTTTGGCCGATCATCTAAGCTGCTGAAGACTGAGCTTGACGAAATCCGAGCGCCGTATTTGCCACGGTGCGAGACATGCGGCAGAAGAGGCACGATAAAACACTACCTAGCACTCTTCCCCGACCTCCACGACCAACGACAGACACTTATCAATGCCACGAAGACCTCCGACACATCACGATGGCTCCATGAACCAGTTCGTCGATCGGCCCGCGGAGATGGCAGGCAGCAGTCGAGCAGCTCCTTCTCGACGCCTCATCCGCAACCTCGCCTCCCATAAGGAGTCGGCGGAAGGTCGTCGTCGTCCACGGCCTTGGCGGCATCCGTATATCCATAGTTGCATGGGAAAGCTTGGCGCCCGATGTTCGCCGTGTCACTAACACGCACGATTTAGTATAATCGACATTTTTATCTATTACTACTATACCACGCTTATATAGTATTAAAGAGGTAGTATAACTAATATATAGTACTATAGACCCCTAATACCTCCTCTATATCCATCTAGAGCGCCTTTAAATATAGGGGTGTATACCTAGCTAGACGTAAGAATATCTCTATATAACTACTCTTTTTCTATAGTTTTAGAGGTATTATAGATAATATAAAGTAATATAAAGGCTATAGAGATATAATAAGGATTATATAGAACTAATTTTTAGTAATATTTAGTACTATATAAGTATCATACGGTGGTAATAGATAAAAATGTCGATTATACTAAATATCGTGTGTGTTGGTGACACGGCGAACATCGGGCGCCAAGCTTTCCCATCCATGCAACTATGGATATACGGATCCATCCATCGGATCCGATCGGCTGCTGTGGGTGGGTTGTCTGTGCGTGAGTGACCAACCGATTTCACGGGACTCCTCTTCCTCCACCTCTATGCGCTGCGTTGGCGGCCCTTCCTCCTCGACCACAATATCCAATGAATCCGAGGTAGCTTCAGGGACTTTCTCGAGAGCCGATTTAAAAAAACGCTCGATGACATTTTTCCTTCTTACCGGCTCTTTCCTGAATGCTCTGCGATATTCGTCACCAGTCGCTGTAAATCCTGAGGGTTCTCCCATGGCGTCAAGTAATTTTTAGAAGGACTACATAATTAATTCATTGCCTTTACAGAGATTTCAGCATGCTCACTAGATATGCAACCCGCAAAGGAATCTTACCCGAAGGGTGCGAGAGGTGATCAGGCATTGTCGCTTCTCGAAAGGAACTCTTAACGATGTCGCGTCGACTGCGCGGTGACTTGTTGAATTCAACCTTGCACAGTTCCTTGAGGTTTTTCGATAGACCGCTTGGAAGGTCGATTTCGTGTATGAATCGATTGAAGTACTTTGTTTATTAGCTCTCATAATTGCGTAAGATGCGAGCGGTCGTACGTGGTGTGATTTTTGCTCCCCCATCTCGATAACGAGGCTGATGAAAGTCTACTCAGCGGACCAAAATGACAGGAGAATTGTTACAAGTCAATTTGTGGAAGAATAAGCCCTTGTCGAACGTATAGAGAAACGAATGCAGGCACATGTTAATGAACTGACTACAGAGAGTTGTCGTACTCTCTCTTATACAATGACTTGGTAAAAGAACCCACATAACTCCATCACATCTAAGGGGAGGACAGGAGTGGGTGAATGGATGCATCAACATGGCGTACTTTGTCCCAATGGATCCTGTAATTTGTGTATCAATGCATTGGAAAGATCAGTGGGTCCAACTCTCACTACAAGTGCTCTCCCAATAATGGCTGCTTAATTCGTATCATCCAGCCAGATATACTGCAAATCATTAATATTGACACACAGATCTCCCAATTTCTGCACTCTGTACTTGTGCAAGATCTTCGGTCCCAAGTCGTGTATAGAGCGCACGAGTATGCACAGGCGGAAGTGTGCTCGGATCTCAAAGGGGTCACCGTGTACCTTGTAACATGGTGGAGCACCTTGTACTTGGGAATATGGTAGATCACTATATCGCGCTAGCGACTGTAATCGTGCGCTCTGTAATATGGTGGAGCAAGTGATTCGGAACATGGTGGAGCAACAGACGAGATCATGATGATACCCAGCTAGATGGTAAGCTGCTCCTGGCGGCAATCCATGCACCCATACATCGAAGCAATCCAACAAGTCCAGCATGGATGTTAGGTTCCGATCTCCACCCACGCTGGGATACCTATGCGATGGAGGTATATTGAGATTCAAAATTCTCCAGTCGAGAATGGCATATCTTCTATTGGGATGCCAGGTTGGGAGGCAGGCCTCGAGCGGGAGGACTTACTTTTGATCCCGTATACGACGATCAATAACTCGAACAATGCATGAATGAAGCTACCCCTGCCGCCTTGCACCCTGTCAGGGGCTCTGCCGTTGCTGGCACTTACTGGGCAATCGGAGTGCTGGTGACGAAGACACTCCTTCCGGTTCCCTTGTTTGTAAAGCCTCTCACCCCGGCCGGTACTTTGTATTCGTCTAGATCGACACGATGCTAGAAATTATCCATGCAATGTAATCAGTGACAAGAGCATTGGTCTCACCTATGAATCGATTGGGCAGCTTAGGCGAATCCTACCGGTACACGCCATGGGTGTAGGTAGCTCTTATTCAGAATAGCAGAGCCTTTAGCAATATGACCCGTCGTTACAGTTGGCCCCTCCATCCTGTCATTTCGAAACTATAGTTTACTTTGCATAAGTGGCTCAAGGATAAACGGACCAAAAGGGTCTCCAATCCAGACGACAGGCCACATGCTTGCGAATTGGTATCGAGAAGAGTGTGGTTGTATGTTCAACCTACTTCAAAGCTCAGCACGACGATTGCTTAGATACAATCACGCAATCTAAAAGTAGCATCATTCTAACCGAAAGCGAGGATTCGACATAGACCGATCAGGCTGGATAGAGACTGCTTCGTTGGCTATGTTTAGTAAACTTAGACTACGCCTCGGTAAGATCATGGCTCAGTAAGGGCATGGCTCAGTAAGGGCATAGCTCAGTAAGATATCGACTCAGTAATGCCGACTCAGTACAGTCATGGCTCAGTTGAATAGACCTCTTACAAGAGTATAGTAAATCTTCTCTACGGCCTTAGTAGCTAAAACCTACTCCTTAGAATAAGTAGCCTACATACTAGGAACCTCTTATTACCTAAGAGCTATTAATAGCTAATATAAGTAGTTAGTACGCTTTACAAATAATTTACACGCCAGCTGTTGTATACTATTCCCATTTGGCAGTCTAATAAAAAGTTGAGTCGATTGGCATGGAAAGTATGCTCACTTCCCATGATCATGCCTGCTAACAACGCCCTGACACCGCATGTATTCCTTTCTCGCCTTGGTTAGTCCTCTGTCTGGTTAAGCTGCTTCTCCATTTTAACACTTACTAAAGGCAGGCAGTAACATGGATTTTTATTGATATCCAGCTAAATCTAATTTATTCACGCCGGTAATACTGCAATATCTGATGCTCGCTGGATCGAGTCGCAATACGTACGATACATGCGGATCTGCTGCGCCAAGTTCATGTTTTCCTCTACCAGTCTCTCTAGGGTCGTCGTATGCAGCTGTTCTCGACAGGAGTCTATCTCGGAGATGATGCGCTCGATGTCTGTTGCTGTCTCATAATCATAGCAGACATAAATACACTGCACTGGTTGTGGTCCGGCCCATTTTTCTGAAGATAGCCGTAATGTGGAAGGGCGCTCAAGACGATTTTAGCATCATTGGGGCCGTCTTGCGGTTGGGTAAGAGCCTCGATTTCTCATGTCAATATCCTATAAAACAAACAGTTCAGTTCCTGAAGCACTTTAGTTTACCTCGCGGTATATTTGAACCGAGCTGTCAGTTCTAGTAGTAGAATTGAAGTTGACTCAGTTGAACTGAAGTCTAGTAGATAGTCTGTCTAGAGTGAAGAAGTAGCGTAAAAATACGGTAAATTTAAGTTTATATAGAAGATTTTCGTACGCCTAGACGACTCTTATATATTTGTCCCTATTGGCACACAAGTAAGGCAGGGTCGAGACCCGATCCCAGGCCATTGAGGGCGCACCGCTATTTTCAAGTCTAAGTAAATTTGGGTCAGCGCAAGATGTACATGACGAGAATCATATAACCACCCCCGTAGTCATTTGGTCTCTCCAGCGATTTGACATGTCCCGTACCCGCTCAAGTCCAATTCCTGTCCGAAGGGGCCTTCGACAATTGCGCTGTAGCCTACGGCAGCCTTCAGCTGAGGTTTGTAATGATCGTCTTTTCATGCTCTTGCAATGTCTGGTATATGTAGAATGGGTGAGACTCCATGAGCGAGCCAAACAAATATGCAACTGGACTGTGTCGTATCCCTGTGTCATTCCGCGCTCCTCAGGACGAAGCGCTGGTCAACTTGCTGGCTAACAGCGAGACTGAGAATCTGGACATGGTTGGCGAGGTGGAGAACATGGGCTTGGAATTGGGATGCATGCCGTCGCTTTATAAGAGCATGAGTCTGCAGGGGAGCTGGAACGTTTGCTTTGCTTAACACTCAGACACGTGAAATTTCGGACTGCGTGTTCGGCTAACGAAATGAGATATGTCTATTAAATTATGAAATTCATGCTTGAGAATCTCTCATCTTGGTGCAATGCTAATGCGAGACTGACGCGGGAACGTCCGTTTTCAAGTTCCCATTCTTTGTTTTCTTTCGTCCAGACCGGTACTCAATTTCACACCTGGTCATATAAAGATACTGTCCTGACCATGTCCTAGGTCAAGACTAACAATGCAAGGTACGTTCGTCGGCACCCCACCCGGAGAGAATGACTAGGTAACATTGCCGCCTAGCTGATGATGATCTTATCCACGAGCAAGGCGAATTTTTGGGGCGGATTTAGCACATCCCTTGGAGTAATGCACTAAAACAGGGGTCCTATCCATAGTGGTAGATATCCCTGGAAACGCCTCATGCCTGTTGGCCTAGGTGCTGCCGCCTATGCTTGTCTGTATTCCAGAACCTCAAAACGAGAAGACCTCAAAATTCGCTACGATATGTTGTTGGCGCGCTCGCAGCTTCCACATAGCCTTAGAAGACCAATGCCACCCTGCGAAGGACCAAAGCTGTCAGCGTTCAAGAGAGGGGGGCTTGCTATCCACTTCATAAAGCTTCTCAGTTCGTCGCCGCGCTTGGACGGATCTGAAGGAGCCGAAGGAAGCCACAGCTATGTCTTCAAAGTTCGCATAGGTAAGAAGAAGTATGCACTGAAGGTGGTAGGTACATACGCGCATAGTTGATCACGACTATATCGTTCAGGCCTAATATGCGTCTAGTTCAAGTTCTTCAGTGTCGAGCACGAACGCTCTTCAGTATCTCCTACCGATAAGGTCAAGGCAAGCGATGAGATAATCGCTTATCACTCTGATCCATTTTTTGCAGAGTGTAGAGCATACGGAATTCTCCTCCTCAACCCTATATCCACGGCGCCATAGCCAGCTTGGCTCGCCACGAGTTGAGAGACGCTCAATAGGGATACGGTATCCATGGAGGCGTGTCCAATCAATCGTCTCGTAGCCTTCGGGAGACTCAAAGTCAAAGGAAGTATTGTCTAAGTCGTCTCGCCGAGCACGTGCAATCGTCAGAGCATCACCAGAAATAGGTACTGCTGGTAGTATATTGAGTGACTCAGCTGCAGACGCGGTGGCTGAGGATGGGACAGACATGTTCAGGTGACGATTGAGGTTCTTCAGAGAGGTAAAAACGCGTGATAATTCATGGATATTGGGAATATTCGACATCCGCAGACATGTCTTATATGGTATATCCGCCTGATTCATGTTGCTGACTAGAATCAACGTATAAACCTAGTAGAGTTCGAAGATTTTTCACGTCGGCGAGCAACCTCAACCCTAGAACCTGTCTATATTCGACTAATATGGGTATATACAGAGCCTCAAGTTACACGTCACTTAAGAAACAGTCTCCCTTACATCGTAGAGTCAGGTTTATTCAAGAAACTCACCATAAGAACCTGGCTAAAATCGACTAATCTGGCTATATATATAGCCTCACGTTACATGCCGTCTCCAAAGTGATATCCGCCCCACATATTCAATCTAACACAAGCAATCTGACCAATCGGATTGAGATTGTACCGTCTTGGCAATCTTCCATGAGGCGTAGATTGAGCTTGTATTCTCTATTAGAATATTTGAGCAGATTGAGCTTGCATGGATTCGGATTGTATGTGCCGAGTATAGGGCACATCGAACCTGCAGGAGTCCAGCGACTTCGAACTGGTGGCCCAGCGTGGTTCAGAGGGTCATGGAAGGAACCGAGCAAATGGACGTATAAAGGGCTTACGAAAGCCCAGACATCTATACTCCTCCAAGCTCGCACCGGCGCCATAGAACTCCCATATCACCTCCACCAGAGCTGTCCCAGATACACCTCCATGGTGCGAGGCATGCGGCAGAAGAGGCACGATCTCCACGACCAACGACAGACACTTGACAATGCCACGAAGACCTCCGACACATCACGATGGCTCCATGAGCACTCTAAGGACGTAGCCCAGTGGATGCTCCAGTACCTCCCCCTCCCCCAGTTCCAATGGACCCGGACCCATATGCCGGGGACCCCTCGGGAAGACTTTAATTATTGGTCAAAGGCAGCCCTTGATTTGATTTGATTCTTCACGCTGCGGGATGCCAGTTGGTCCCTTAGCTAATCTACCAAGGTACGCTATTCATAGTAGCGCCAGCCTGTTTTGTCGTTGATGTTTAACCTCGAGAGTAATTTTCGGCGAACTTCAAGTTTTCACCCACTGCGGCTGATCCAATCTGGTGGTATCTCTGGAACGCGGGGCTGCTGTACCATGGGTTGCGTTCTTGATCGGCCACGAATTACTTTATTCGGCCTTTCATTCCTCGCACGATTCATGGTCAGAGCGGCAAACGTCCAGGTCCCTGCAAAGATTGTGGCTGCGGCGCAGTAACAGACCGACGGCTTATGATCATCCGTATGAAATTAGATCCAGAAGAGATATCTACGGCACTCGTCACATGGGTACTCTCTTAAGCCTATAAGTGGCCGGGTACGGCGAAGTCTGTTGGTTGGCGGCACAATTGCACTAGGTCGGGTCTGTAGCCAAAAATTCCAATAAGTAAGGGAGGTTATATCACAATTTGAGTGCCGTTGTAAAAGCGTACGAAAGTCATGATAAGTCGGCTCCTGGGGGTTAGTCATAATATCACTTGAGCGTAGCGACCATCCATTTAGAACATGTTCCCGTGCGAGTGATGACCATGTGAGCGATGGATCCATACGACCATCCGGATTCATGGATGGATCCGTCTGTAACTTTTCAGCGCGACTCTTGGCACGTGTTGCGCGCGCAACACACACTTTTTCTCTGATTCTTAAAAACGTATATTTTCTTTAATCCCTACGCCCAGCTGCAAAAGTCGTGGATCGCATCTCGCCACGGTTCCGATTCCCGTTTGCAGGCTATCTATATATTTAGACTGCATCCTCTCATAAGTAGATCAGTTACAGAGATCTGCGACAATTATTGTTACATGCCTGAGAGAATGTTGCTAAATTTACCGTCAGAGCTCATCTTTGACTTGCTAAACCACGTAGGTTCTTTCTAAAGTCGCGGACGTAGTCTAATACTAGTAGCTCACAATCAATAACCTCTGCGAAGTAAGACTTGTCTGCAGGAGGATGGACGATGAAGTCAAAAGGATTGTACATTTCCGAGTACAGTTAGACTTGGCCACTCCTCTACACGCAATAGAGACTTTGTCACTATCCCGATTCGTTCGTCAAACACTCTGTATTCACCGGGACACAGATCTTATCTCTTGGGACCACGCTACATCTTACGTACAAAGATGTGTCCCGAACTCGATCGAAGCTGTCTACATTGATTCTTCGATTCCCACAGTCGACGAGGTATTTCTGCGGAATGTACTGAACAACCATCGGACTATTCAGCACATTGATGTCAGGAGACGACTACGTAGTTCGAGTGCTTGGTTACGAGCTATTTTGCCGCCAAGTGTCTCGCTCTTTTATGGTACTAGGCAAGACATCGATGCCTTGTTAATCACTGCACATCCTTCAACCATTACAAAACTTGAACTAGGCTATATCGGGAAGATTGGTAATCGCACCGTCTCTCTAAAAGATTTTGAGACATTGAGAACTCTTCGCCTTATTGGTTTCGACTTACAATGTTTTATTGAGTTGCATAGAGTTGTTAACCAGCTCAAATCCATCCAGATCATGCGCTGCACTGGCGTTGCGCGATTCCTGAGCCAGATACCACCTGCTACGCGCATGGACGAGTTCGAATGTTGTTTGCATTACAGTGATACTGCATCAACTATAAGTGCTATTGAAGGATTCCTTGAGAGAGTTCGTGGTCTTCATAAACTAGGGCTCAATTATCAGGAGTCTACTAATCGAGTGAGACCGAACTACATACGGCAACATTCGAAGAGTCTTAGACACTTCGAACTTACATCTAACCAGCACCTAAATTTTTTATGCTGCGAAGCATGGTCCGTGGTGTACGAGTGTCAGTCTCTGGAGTATTTAGGTCTGAGTATTGCCAACCTTGGACCGGAGAGCGCGCAGATTGGGATTGAGTGGGTACACTTGCTCTTTTGGGGGCTTGTAAGTCAAACTATGGTAAACATGTGTTGCAACGAAGTTAAAAATACATCAGTGGCTCCATCTCCTGCGATACCCAAAACACCCTACGCTCCGAAGCTTCCGTCTGACTGGCGCATGCGCGTTTTATGGCCACATATCCCACAAGGATATCGAAGAATCACTTGGGAAAGCTCGGCGTTTCTTACAAATGCGGCTTCCATTAAGGATGCTATGCATTAATCCAGCATATACAGATGCAGAGATTGAGAAATTGTATGAGTACGGCAGCCCTACACTAGTGCCGCGTGTAGTGTTAGAAGATGGCGAGGAGCCGGATGGGGAAAGGTACAAGAAGACCCGGAGATCCGTCGTTTTCCTAGAACCTGAGTCACTAGCACACGCGTGTTCTCTCCCCCATCTTTATACCTACCCGTCCCACGTACTTCGGAGTTGTAACCTCTGAAGTGCTCCCGACTTGAACTGTACATATGCACTTCAACGGTACTATATAGACAATATATTCAGATTTAACAACACCCCCATGCCTACAGTCCCTTATGCGTACCAAAATGAGGAGGAGAAGGTCCAATCTGCCATTCGTGACTTTCGGATCGCGAAATTTGGATCATTAGCGGCCTCGGCGTGTCATTATCGCGCTATATACCGTCGCGTCTTGTATCGCAATCGCGGTATACCACCAAAAACCGCGCAAACCAAGACTTCTAATAGGCTTAATCCACGGCAGGAGCTTACCCTTAAGGAGTATATACACCACTGCGACGAGATTGGTGTATCTGCTTTAATTAGGCAGATTCGGAGTGCTGCAGAGTATACGTGATGCTGAGCCTGGTTCTGACCATATACCACGGCTAATTGGACGTGACTGGGTTACGCGTTGGCTAGCACGTAATCCCGAGTGTAAAAAGGTAAAGCAGAAGGCACGAGAGTCTACACGTATTACAGTAGAGGACGTAGTAGAGATGAAGGGCTTCTTTATAAAGTCGCCTTTGGTACTGAAACAAATCGCGACTATATGACGTCTATTGAATGCATTCTAGTAGATGGCTACGTGCTCCCTCCTTTACTTATTATGAAGGGAGTCATAGTATGAGAGAAATGGATAAGTAGAGAGATAGGCCTACTAGGTGACTATAAAGTATCCTGCTCGGAATCTAGTTATATAAATGACCAGCTAGCCCTATCGTGGATTCAACACTTCGACAAACATACAAAATCTCGTATACTTAGCGCCTATCAACTCATTATATTAGATGGAGTAGTATCCCATTTAACCGTCGAATAGCAGAAAGAGAATATTGTCAGGACAATCGAAACATCCGGATGCCCAAATTCAGACTGCTCTGAAGGTACTCCCTTGGCCTCGAATGGTACGGCAGCACAGCAAGAGAATCCTACACGAGAGCAGTCCACGACATGCCAGAAGAGTTTTTCTGGCGCGTAATTGATCTTTGACTTCATTTAAGATACAAATCCAATTTTGGGCTGTGGCCTCAATATATAATCAAACTCTCGGCCCAATCGATACTGGGCCATGTATTGATCTTGACACACCTGCTCTGTTCCCAGGACTTAAGTTCCCAGCTTTCAACTCGCATTAGCCATGAAGACCCACGTGTATCCCTGGAAGCGCCTCATGCCTGTTGGCCTGGGTGCTGCCGCCTTGGCTTGTTTTCTAGTATCGCTATACGCTGCTACAAATAAGAGAGTGCTTCGCGAGGGCATCGCAATCATCAAGGTAAGACATGTTTTGGCTGACGCGGTGCCCAGCACTGACTCTAAAACACAGTTCAATAAGCCAGAGCTTCCGTTGGTGCCAAAACATCGAAGAAGTAACACATTTCGCGATATAAATGTCCCACACCCTGGCCTCCCTAGCCTCGACCCCCAAGACATCGACATACCCATACCGGTGATGCCCAATTCCAACGAGATCCAGAGCAAAGTGCTTAGCGCCATTGGCAGCGCACAAACGGCCACAAGCAACGTGATTGATGAGGTTCAAAACACGGCCGGTAATATCATTGACAAAGCAAAAAACCTGACCAACATCGCTCTACCACGGAACATCACCATTGGCACTCAGAGCTACTGTGTCAACTTAGACCATGATACGACTTGTCGAGATCTTCCCCTGGACTTGTCCTCTCTACTACCCGCGGACACACTCCATGTCCTCGAGTCCGTTATGCCAGGCTTTTCATCATTAGCCGAGAAGCTAAATCGGTTTACAGTCCCGATCTTCTTGTACATACTCATTGCCGGGATCATGTGCTCATTCAGTCTCTGGCTGGCTTGTATT